GGAGGGAGAGGGGAGTGGGGAGCTCCCCAGATTGCCTTGGGAAGTGTGAGCAGGGATATGAGTTGTGCAGGAGGAAGTGGGAAGAGATGGGAAACAACCTCATCTTAGTTCTGGAAATCAGAGTCTCAGGCCAGATTTCATGTGTATATATATATATATATATATATATATATATAGAGAGAGAGAGAGAGAGAGAGAGAGAGAGAGAGAGAGAGAGAGAATGAGAATGAGCGCTGGCAGGTCCAGACTCTGGCCCTATCCCATTCGACTTTGGAGTTTTATATTTGGAGGCAATTCGGAAGGCCTTCAGCTGATTGGTCATTAATCCGGTGAGTTATTGTCTGTTAAACAGAGGTCACTGGGAGAGAGACATCCAATCTGTCAGGAGAGACCTGCGCAGTCACTCTCAGCGGCTGGGCCCCTGTTCCTCCCCGGCCTGCTTCTCCCTCCCTTCACCAGCACCCCCACCCCCTGCCCAGCTGTCCTAGACTGGACCCTCTCCCTGGTGCCTTCTCTACTTTGCCCACCTTTGTCTCAACATCCGCGGGTGTGGGTTAGCTGGGCCAGGACCATGTTTCTAGATGAGGCGGGACCCCTGATTCAGAATTGACTCATGTGCCAGCAAGGCGCCCGCCTGCCGGTAACTCCCAACTTGGCCCAAGGCAGCCCCATCCACTGCTCCTCAGCACGTTCGGGCGGCCTCCACGCTCACCCGAGGAGTCTTTGCAAATTCTCTTGGTTGCCCTGTCTTCTCCTTTCTTCACTTTCACCCTGTCGCTTGGGGTTGGGGGGAGAGTACAGCTTGGATTTTTCTTCCACCCTAGTGGCCTTTTTATTCTTTCCATCCCCGTTTCTGCTGAGCCAGGTCTATACCCGGTCTACACCGGTCTCTGCTGAGGCGCCAAATCTGCATGCGGCTGCCCCTTTGTTCCCTCCTGCTCCCGGCATCTTGGGGTGGGGTGGGTAGGGGGGAAGGCAGGTTTGAGGATCCAGATACCAGGAGCGGTCTCCAGTAGCAATTACCATTTTACAACCCCAGCTTGAAAATTTTTATGAATGTTTAGATGGAGATTTGGGTGTGGGTGTGAACTTTACAAGACTCTGCCGCTGCTGCAACAAAGTTGGGCGATGAAGCTAGAAGAGTGTGGGTCTGGGAACCAGACAGGACCAGAAAGAAACAGATCCCTAGATGCTTCGTTGGGCTTGCAGCTCCCAGCGCCTCCACGATCAGCCTGCGGTCGGAATTTGGGGCAGAATTCTTGGTCACCCCAAGGCTGATCATCAGAAATCGATTTTAACGGGGCCAGCCAATTTGTGCTTTGTGAGAGGAGAATTTTCGTTTGCTCTTTGATTTTCTGTGTATGTGTGTATGGGGAGGGCAGGGGGGGGGGACTGATGTGATCCCCCAAAGGCCTGGAGGGCTGGACCGCCAGGGATTTCTCAAGGGGGTTTAAAGTGCTCCGTGTCCCCTGGTACTGGGCACCGATTAGGAGTGGGGGAGGGGGTGCCAGTGCCAGAGAGAGCACTCTAGCTTTTTGGAAACTGAAGCAGAGAGAAAAGAATGTCTCTGAAGGGGGACACTTTCTCTAATTTTTACCTTTATTGTTAATTTTTGCCTTTATTAGATTACACTAAGGTCTCTGTGTCTTGATCTTTCTCTCCATTTTTTTCAATTTCTCTCTCTCTCAACACACACACACACACACACACACACACACACACACACACACAGAGTAAGTTAAGTTTCCCTGCCTTGAATCCAGGAAGAAATTGTTTCCTCTCCTCTCTGTAGTCTAACCCTGAATCAGGACTCCCTTGGCATCGCTGCAGCCCTCTCCCCTCCTCTTCTCCAGACCCCAAAGTCTCCCCTCAGACCCCTCTGGTGTCTCCCACCCCAAGGTCCTTGCCCATACTCCTCACTATCCTGCCTTTGTCCCTTGAAGTTTGAAAGGTCCCCATCCTGCATCAACACCTCAAACGAAATGGGAGCCCTCAGGGCTGCCGGTTCTACCGTCCACACCCCACACCCTCCCTGTCCCAATCTGGGGCAACCGGCCAGCCAGAAATCTCCAAGAAAGGAAGAAAAAGGCAAGAAAGAAACCAAAATGGGATCTAATTGCCTCCCAAACATTTCAAATGGGCTCTGCTTTCCAGAACTAAGAAGTCCCACTTCATCTCCTACCGCATTTGGGGGTGCATGTCTTCTGAACTTTTTCTCCAGGTTAGTTTTCTTGCTCCCCAGTTCTTTTTGCTTCCACCCCACTACACCCCATTTCTTTGCGTAGCCAGAAGGCACTGCAGTGAGTTGAGGCTCCAGGAGGGGAATAGTCCACTGCTGTCTCTGGAAAGCGCCTCCACCCCCAGCTCAGCTCCAGGCCCCATCAGCCTGCAGCCCGGGCTTGCAGGCCGGCAGCTGGCGGGGTGCCCTCCAGGCTCTCTTTTTATTCCTTGATGCAAAGCTTTGGAGCCACAAACAACCAGGTTTTCTCTTCTCTCAATTTTTATGACGATCTTCTCTAGCAACAGCTAGGACAGATGGAGGGTCTGAGATACATTCTTGGCTTCTTAAATTTTGGGGAGTGAGAGAAAAGACCCAAAGGTGCTGGTTCCCTTAAGCCTCTGGCAGCCTCCCTGGGCTGAGTCTCTGACCCACCAGACCCAAAGCTACATAGAGTCCCACTCTGTAGGTCTCTCACCGGGGACCAGAGATCTCAGGACAGATTTCTTGCAGCCACATCCTCATGCGGCCATAATCACTCTCTTCGAGGGTCATGGCCTGAGCCCCACATTGGGTCTGGCTTGGGCATTTCCTTTTCTTGATACTCTTAATGAACACAGAAAAAATGGCTCCCACCCTCTATCTTCATCTGTCCTTTCTCTCAGCCACCATCTCTCTAGGAGGCCATAGGATCCTTGGGAATATCACAGTGAAAGCTCTACATGCGGTTCTTGTTGCTAGAGGGTAGGGAGGCCATGGGTACCCCATCCCCTAATTCAGCAGGGCCCCAGGAAACCTACTGCTTCAACCCAGAAAGTCTGACTTACGGGGCCTGGAAGAAGTAGGGGGGCCAGAGGAGCCCAGGAACCACTTCCTATGGGAATAGAATAGTTTCTCAGCCCAAAGCAGAGCCTGTGAGTGAGGAACAAGGATAGGATCTGAGGGAAGCTTTGCCAGACACAACCACCCTCTCCTGGAAGGAAGACAATAGAATAGCTGGAAACAATTTCTCACCTTTGTTCTCCCAGTCCCATCTCTCCTTGGTGCATCCAGATGGGAGAAGGCAAAAGCCAAATATTCTAACCAGGAGCTCACGGGGCAGTGGCTGGTGCTATCCACAAAAAGTTAAGAGAACAAGTTTTCCAAGCTGCCTTTGTAGGAAAAAAAGAGACCGTTTGCCTCCTATTTTATCCCCTAAACCCAGAGTCAGCAGTTAGCAGAGTTGCAAACACTCCTGCTTTTGGGAATGCCCTGGTGCTCTTTTTGTCTTTTTCCTCCACCAACGGGACTCGCCCCCACCCCCGACCCAAATCTGCAGACACCTACATTCCTGGCTCCTGTCTTCCTCCTACAGGCCTCCCCGCCCTTCTCAAACACACCCCAAGAAAAGTTTATCTTCTATCATCTTCCTTACTTCTGCCAAGAATCATCATCTTGCAGGGCTGAGAGAACAAGTTTGTTCTGAATAATAATAATAATAATGACGACAACAACCACCACAACAACTATCCTCTGTGTCTCCTGCCGGTTCACTCAAAATTAAGCCATTTTGCTAGTTCTTCTCATCTTCTTAGAAGTACAAATATCCTTATCACCTCTGAGCCCCTTCTGCCCACCCAGAGGTGAGAATCCTAACAGAAACTTCTCTGGGAGGTTCTTACAGGCTCTGGCCAGCCGGTCTGGAGCTGAAGCGAAACACAGGGTCCTCCTTTTGTCACCATCTCATCAGCCCCCCTTCGCCCTGCAAGATGGTCTGGGTTTTTTAAATAATCACCGCTTGTTGTCTGTTCTCAAAAAAAAAAAAAAAAAAAAAAAGGGAGGGGGCTGTTTAAAAAAAATCTGGCCTTCCCTCCCTACCAGTTGGAAACTGGGTCTGGAAACTTGTGGGGAGAGAAGCAGCAGACCCGGAGATTCAGATGGAGGGAGCCAGAGCCAGAGGGCGGAAGACCCAGCCACTAGTCCCAGAGGAGTGAAACTACTTAAAAAAAAAAAAAAAGTCCTGGTGTTCCACTGCACATGAATACAGAGGGGCGCCAGGCACCCCACCCCCGGGGAGCACAGAGCCTTTGACAGGCCTCCCAGCGGCTCCTTCTCAATTAGCATAATGGTTTACCACTGGGGTGGTAAGAGCTGGGAACTCCAACTGGCTTGCCTTGCCTTGGCTCCCCCTGCCTCCCCTGCCAAAATCTCCATTTAAAAATGTACCTGTTCTTACAAAATGAAAAGACCAAAAAAAAAAAAAAAAAAAAATCCTCAACCTCTACCTTCTTTCCTTACTCACCCTTTTTTGGGGGTGGGGGTGGGGTGGGGTGTAAAAATCCCCTCTCCCCCAATACCACCATCACCTTCCCTCCTTATCAGGCATCTAAGCCCGCTAAAGGGGGAGAGGTGGGGGGTGTGTGTGAGCGTGTGTGTGTGTGTGTGTGTGTGTGTGTGTGTGTGTGGTTTTTTTCCCTGTGCAAAAGCAGAGGCCATTGTTACGGAGAGTAGGGCGTACCAGTCTTATAGGGCAACCACACTGTGGCGACTTGGCCGTGGCGGAGCCCGGAGCTGGATTCTCGGCGAGCCCAGCAGCCCAAGCACCTTTCGGGCTCCTGCTTTTCCCCGCTCCCCCACCCCCTCCCTCCTGCGCACCCCCCGCTCCTAAGCCGAGTGAATTGAAGCGGACGCCGCGCGGCACCTCCGGCCGCTCTGCCCCTCGGGCTCCCCAGCCGGGGTGGCTGTTGGGGAGGGGGGGCGACGCCGCTTTAAACAGTGGTCTTTTTTTCCCTTTGCCTTCAAGGAGGGGAGATTTCTCGCCTGCCGCTCGCGCTGGGGCTCGATGTGAATATATATTATGTCTGCCTGTTCTCCCCTCGTCGGTGGCTAAGGTAAGCTGGACTAAAATAGGCTATCAGTTTGTGAATGGCGGAGAGTATGTCTCAATGATTTATGGCCCATATGACTCCAATCTCGGTTCAAGAAGAGTTCACAAGCTTTAAGCTTCCTTCCACGCAGCGACTGACTCTCTCTCTCTCTCTCTCTCTCTCTCTCTCTCCCTCCCTCCCTTCCTCCCTCCCTCTCTCTCTCTCCTTCTCTCCCTCCCTCTCTCCCTCTCTCTTCCTGCTTCTTTCCTTTTCTCTTCTTTCCTTTTAGCAATCAGGTCCTGGGCAGAATTTTTTTCTCCTGCTGATAAGAAGAGCCTAACCGTTCTCTTCCTTCCCCGTTTTATTTTTCTTCCTTCCATTAATTTTATTTTTTATTTTTTTAAGTCCTGGAAGGTGGCCTATCCCCTCTCCCGGGGCTTCCCCCGCGATTGTGACTCTCCCGGCTCTTCCAGGGGTGCGCCTGGCCAGGTGGGGTTCTGGGGGTGGCTCACTCCAGCGAGACCCTGGGGGGAAGCCAGGAGCCACCGGCTCCCTCCCGAGAAGCCATATGGAGCCTGGATTTTTCCAACATGGAGGCAAGGGAAATAGACATGTGTGGCTGGGTAGAGCTGCTCCCCACCCCCACGGCTCCCGGGCCCCCAGATCTCGGATCCCCGAGGCACCTTTCCCGCTCCGCACCCACCGTCCCGCCAGCCAGGCCTCGGCGCCCCGCAGCCCGGCCCCGCGGAGTCCGCGGCGGAGTTGCTCACGCGCCTTTAATGCGGTTACCTCCCGCGCCCAAACTTGCTGCCGCCGGGGCTCGGCTCCCAGCCCGGAGCGCTTGGAACCTGCCACCGCCAACCGCGTCGGCGTCCGGACGCTTTCTCGTCGCCTCCGTGGGCCGCGTAGCTAGTCGCCAGCCACCGCGGCAGCAGCGGCCCAGACAGCCCGGCGGCGGCGGCGGCAGGAGCCGGGGGCCAAGCCCCTCCGCAAACCTCCCGGCTCGTTCTCCCCGGCGGCGGCGGAGGCTCCATTCTCTCCTCCCGCGCTCCCGGCTCCTCCGCGCCCCACACTCTCCCGGCCGCGGTCCTGCAAGGGTTTGCGGGTTTGTTGCAGGGGCAGCGGCAGAAATTTCGGCCTCAGGCGTCTAGTCAAATTATTGTTTTATTATCATCCTCCTCCTCCTCATCATCATTACTGCTGTAACAATCATTTAGACTAAATAAAGCCAGGGCCCAGCCAGCCAACCCCCTCCAAGGTTTTTTATTTTATTCTTCTATCTATTAATAACAAACTCAACGGATGCCTGTTAATTAATTCCCCCTTCAGCCAGGGCTGCTCCGAAGCCAATTTTGGTTAAATCATCAGAGACTAATGGTAATAATAATAAAGGCGCTGGGTCAGCCTGGTCAATTGAACTCCAGTTTTCCTGAAAGGACCTGCTGCTTTGCAGACCCATGTGTATTTTCCAGGAACAAATTCTTCCCAGAAACCAATCGGACCTCAGGGCCACCCCGGCTTTCTTTGGGGTATAAATCTGTGCGATTAAGAAGGGGATTTATGTGTGGGAGGGACTTCCTTCACCTACACGCCTTTTCTTTTATTTTCCTATTTTTAGTTTTCTTTGGAGTTTGCCAGCTGGGCTGAATGAGATTTAAGTATTTCAAACTCACATGTCAGAAGAGAGGGTCATTCTGGAGGTTTTATGAAAAAGTGTGATGGTGAGGCCTTGGGGAAGACAGATGAGGGGGGAGGGATGAAGTCAGAAGTTTCAGAAGAAATATACAAAACCCTATGACAGCTCGAACCTTTATTTTTCCGGCACACTTTAAAAAGGCTGCATGAAAAAAAACACAATGATTTTATTAAAAAAAAATTTTGCCCCAGAGAACTTTAGTAAACAGGGGTACCCTGTTTCCAGCCCAGAGAATAATATTGTTCAAATTGCTTTGTTGACTTTGTTTTTTTCCTAGGGAATTTTTTTTTCTCTGGAAAGTCTTTTCCCATCTCTTGGTAGAAAAGTCCAGCAGTTATCCAGTTTCTTTCTTCTTTTCTTCTGTTGAAGGAATCAAAGGAAACAAACTGTCAAGAAAAGGGTGGGAAAAATTAAGTCCTGTGGGAAAAAAATGAAGGAGGGAGGAGATCTGGGCCAAATGGTCACAGCACCAAGCAGCCGGGCCAGGGAACTGAAACAATCCTGCTCCTTTTGGGGGCCCCATGGGGGCGGCTGGTCCCGTCCCAGACTTGGCTGGGCCAAGACTTAGCCTGGCGGTGGAGATACCTGGAGCAGGGACATGCAGGGACGCCCGGAAAGGCCCAGTTCCTCTGGTTCGGGAGGTGAAAGGTCTTCAGGAAGTTTCTAGGTCAGGCCGTTGTTATTGTCTTTGTGAGGTGAGAGGATCCCTGACATAAGAAGGCTCTCTGCTCAGCGTGCTTCTTCCTTCTGTCTCTTTCGGAGTTCTGTCTTTCCTTCAGATGAGACTCTGTGGGTGAGAGAGACCTGATAGACACGGAGGGAGCAGAGGCAGGAGGCCTCAGCTCAGAGAAGGGTATTGCTGATGCTTTTAGAGTCTCCCCGTCTCCCTCTTCTTGAGCCACCCTCTCCAGAGCTGGGGCGGAGGAGATAGGGGGAGGAAGGAGGAGAGGTTAGAGGCTAGTGTGCTGGCACAGGAGAGAAAGCAATGACTTTTGCAGTAAGCAGGAAGATTCTAGACCTAGCCAGACCCCAAAGGAATACTGTCCTTATTTTTAAGTGGAAATGAAAACCGGTGGGCTTTCACTTTGCAATTAAAGCGTTGAAATTTAAGGAAAATCCATTGCCGGCCAGGAAGCGGCCTCAGCATCTGCTGTGAAGATGCCGGGGTTGGGGAGAGGAAAAATCCCTATTGATGTCAGTTCCCTTTTCAGTTCCTAAGATGGATTCGAGCCCCAGTCCTCTTCTCCCCCTTGTGTCTCTTCTCTCACCCCGCAGGTCAGCGGCTCCGAACAGACCCCGGGAGGAGGGGGGCAGAAAGGGGAGGGGGGGTCCGGCGCCTCACGTGACCCCCAGGGGTGCCAATGTCCGGTCGTGAGGGTATCAGGCCCTTGCAAGTTGCCACCCACTGCCCGGGTTTCGCCCAGCGATGCAGAAAGCCACCTACTACGACAACGCCTCGGCTGCACTCTTCGGAGGCTACTCCTCGTACCCTGGCAGTAATGGCTTCGGCTACGATGGTGCCCCCCCACCCCCCTTCCAGGCCGCCACGCACCTGGAGGGTGACTACCAGCGCTCGGCGTGCTCGCTGCAATCCCTGGGCAACGCCGCCCCGCATGCTAAGAGCAAGGAGCTCAACGGCAGCTGCATGAGGCCGGGCCTGGCCCCCGAGCCCCTGCCCGCCCCGCCCGGCTCACCCCCGCCCAGCGCCGCACCTACCAGTACCACTAGCAACAGCAGCAGTGGGGGCGGGGCCGGCAAAAGCGGCCCCCCCAAATGCGGTCCCGGCTCCAACTCCACCCTCACCAAACAGATATTCCCCTGGATGAAAGAGTCGAGGCAAACGTCCAAGCTGAAAAACAGCTCCCCCGGCACAGGTACCAGCTCTCTGCCTTCCTCAGCGTGCGCTTTTGTCCGGGCCAGGAATGTCGCTGTTATTCTAGCACCCAGCCCCGAGGCGCCCAGGCGGCGGCCTGGGGACAGTATCAGGTGGAGGTGGCAGCGGCGCAGCTCCCCGACCTCCCACCACCTGATGACCCCTGACCCCACTCACACCCTCTCCCTCCGGCCACCCTGCACCCGAGCTCCAGAAGGCCGGGCGCGGGGCCAGGAGACGCAGAGTCGTCAACGATTGATTATTATTAAGTATGATTACTGTGGGTATTAATCACAATCTCTCGGGCGGCCCGGGGTCCCGGCCTCCAGGCACGGCAGCCTCTTCGCGCCACACTCCCGTGTCCTGCCCACGGATGTCCTGGTGCCTCAAGGGTCGTCCTCGGCCACCCCCATCCTGGTCACAGACAGGGGCAGGAGAGGGGGGAGTGACTCCCCAGACCTGGAGTTGAGGACGGGGGAGAGAGCGTGCGAGAGAAAACCCAGCCCTAAATAAATGGCCATGTGGCTCTGTCTGCGTGACATGATCAAATTTTCATAAGCTGGGGCAGGAGAGGAGAACAGGTCTCTTAATAAATGCCACTATTATAGAGTGTCCGCTAATGCGACGGGCGTTGGGGGGTGGGGGGGAGGTAGCAAGGAGGAGGCGGGGACGGGAAGGGGAGGCGGCGGGGGATCCGAGTCCAGGCCTGGATTTATTAAGAAACGATGCATTCAATTTCGGCGTGTTCAGTAATTATCTTTTATTTCATTTTCTCCCCTTCCCACCCCTCCCCCTCGGATCCAGCGGAGGGCTGCGGTGGTGGCGGCGGCGGAGGCGGCGCAGGCGGAGGCGGAGGCGGTAGCGGCGGCGGCGGGGGCGGCAGCGGCGGCGGGGGAGGGGACAAGAGCCCCCCGGGATCGGCGGCGTCCAAGCGGGCGCGGACGGCATACACGAGCGCGCAGCTGGTGGAGCTGGAAAAGGAGTTCCACTTCAACCGCTACCTGTGCCGGCCGCGCCGCGTGGAGATGGCCAACCTGCTGAACCTCAGCGAGCGGCAGATCAAGATCTGGTTCCAGAACCGGCGCATGAAGTACAAGAAGGACCAGAAGGCCAAGGGCCTGGCCTCGTCGTCGGGGGGCCCGTCCCCCGCCGGCAGCCCCCCGCAGCCCATGCAGTCCACGGCCGGCTTCATGAACGCCTTACACTCCATGACCCCCAGCTACGAGAGCCCGTCCCCGCCCACCTTCGGCAAAGCCCACCCGAATGCCTACGCGCTGTCCTCCAACTACCAGCCCTCTCTCAAAGGCTGCGGCGCCCCGCAGAAATACCCGCCCACGCCGGCGCCCGATTACGAGCCCCACGTTCTCCAAGCCAACGGGGGCGCCTACGGGACGCCCACCATGCAGGGTAGCCCGGTGTACGTGGGCGGGGGCGGCTACGTGGATCCGCTGCCGCCCCCTGCCGGCCCCTCCCTCTACGGCCTCAACCACCTTTCCCACCACCCCTCGGGGAACCTGGACTACAACGGGGCGCCCCCTATGGCCCCCAGCCAGCACCACGGACCCTGCGACCCCCACCCCACCTACACAGACCTCTCCTCTCACCATGCGCCTCCTCCTCAGGGTAGAATCCAAGAAGCGCCCAAGTTAACACACCTGTGATCGGAGAGGTGGGGGGGGGGGGGGGCGGAGGGATGAGGTCAAGGGGTGGGGGAGAGCCTGGAGTGGTAGCCTGGAGGTCTGAAGGAAGAGGCAGGGACTTGGCAACCAGGCTTCCTGGGAAGGACAGGCCTGGAGTTCCTTCCCTTCTTGGCCTGAGAGGTTGCTTTTTAAAAATCTTCCAGCCCTTGTTCCATCTGTCTGCCTACCCGCTGAAAAGGAATCCACAGCAGATTGGAGATGCAACCACTCCGACCCCCCCCTCAACCCTAGGCCTCTGGCAGTATGCAGTTGGTATTCCAGGCTTGGGCGTGGGCTAGAGGGAGGAGACAGGGCAACAAGGTAGAGAAGCACATTTTAAAAACACAGACAAGATGGCTAGGCCATCACCAACCAACTTACCTTCAGTCTCTGTGGGTAATTCCCCCAAATCTTGATTTTTTCCCCCCCTTGCAATTCTCCTTTAAAAAGAATTAGAAAACATTTCAAAACCAGGGGCACCAAGCACGAACCCCTCCCACCTCCCTGAAGTCTCAAATGTCCTCCCATCTCTTTGAGGTCAATTGGGCACTCCCTTCTAGCACCATATTTTTCTGCTCTAGGACATTAATATCTACACCCCGACCCCATCAGTTACAGTTTCCAGAGGGCTCAGGGATGGTGAGAGATCTTGAAAGTCAGAGCTGTCTATATTATAAATATATATATTTTTTTCTTTTATGGAAAAGCTGGGAGGTGATTGTCAGGACTGAGGGTTTGCCCATTCTACTGCCTCCCACCCATCTCAGCTCCAGGTCCATCCCCCTCTTTCCACAAAAAGCAATCGGAGACACGAGGTTCTTCTACACTTTTTCTTCAGTTGCTCTCTTGACTTAACGTGAAAACAGGGTATATTTTAACAAACTGTCTGTCCCAGGCAGGGGCTGCAGCGGGGCCTGTGTGCCTTGCTCAAGCCCCTGACAGGACACTTTCGTTGCACTTAGAGTTTACATTTTAATGGATATAAAAACAACTGTGAGAGATGCCTGCAGGAGTCCAGCATCGCTCAAAAAGTGTGTGTTCTAGTGAACATTTTCATATATATTTATTGGTCATAGCCTGTTAAAATATTTTCTTTTTTTTTGTATTATTTATCCCCTTACATTATGTATTTATACGAGGGAAAAAGGAAAAAAAAACTGTACTTTTTTTTTTTAGTATTTACTTGTTATAAAGGACGTGTTTCCTGTCATGTAAAACCAGCTATTTTAGTTATTATTGTACTCTAGAAAAGAGCTGTAGATTTATGTTAAACTCGTACTTATGAGCAATTGTAATTAGTTCTAAAAGGCATGAACTCAGCTCCTAATTGTCACTGTATAGTCCTGAATTTGTAGAATTAGAGTTAATTCCCTCTTGGAACTTTCTTTGTTCTTCCGTAGTCACTTTTTTTCCTTACTTAAAAGGGTTGTCTGTCAAACAATTCTTGAATAAACTTTCTGTTATCAATTTTATCTTGTCCTGGTGGTCCAATTTAGATAGCAGAGGGAGGCTGCTGACTGCCAAATTTCCCCCAAGGGAATGAGGACACTGGAGACCCCATCTTGGCCTTTTCGAGCACTGCTCAGGCGCCGACCTCCCCTGGCTGTATCTCATGTTTATATAGCTTTTCTCATAGGAGCCTGGGACATCCTGCCAGCTCCTTGAGCTAAGATTTAAGAAACAAATTGGGAGGAAGGAGGACTCTTGGGTGCTCGCTCTAGGTCTTTCTGTTTGGCTTCTTTGCCTCTCCATTTTTCTCATTCATTGACCTTTTGTCCTTTTGCTCCTTTGGCTACAACTTCCTTGCCCAGCCCCTGCCCCTACGCCCCCCGCCCCCCAATAACAACAACAACAAAAATCGGCAGATTACTGCTCCTTCCACGCAACCTAAACTTCACAGTTCTCTTCCGGAGCGACAAAGAAGTCGTCACGTGACCCGAAGCCCAACCACCATTGGGTCTAGAATGAAAACAAAGGAAAATGATTAATCTAAAAAAAAAAAAAATCTGAGGCCTGGACTTCTAAGGTCAAACCTTAAAACTAAAGTGAAATTAAATTACTAAATAAAACTGGGGGCGGAGGGAGAGGAGGCCCCTTTGATTTCCCCAGCCAGGCAGCCAGGGGACAGGGAGAGGCGGAGGGTGGGAGAAGCTGTTGGATCGAAGCGTAAATAAAATAGTCCCCGGGCTAATGGGCGACTCTGTTTTCCACAATCCCTGGGAAAACTTCATTTCTTAGTCGTGGTTCCATAAAAGTTTTATCACATTGGAGCGAGGATAGAGAGGGTCTGTCAAAGATGAAATGTCACCGCTGCGTCGCTGGAGTCGATAAGAGCGAGGAGACAGGGCGGCTGAAATATGGAGCTAATTCGTTGAAAGGGAAGCGGTGGCGGCTTGCTGAAGAGTTGCATAATTCTAATTGTAAGCGATGCGCAGGCATTGCTTAATTAGGAGCATATATTTGGTGGAAGTGATGGGGGGAGGGTGTGTCGGTGAGAATCTTTGCAGGCCCTGAGCCTTAAAGAGAGGGCTGATTTTCATTTTTATGTTGCATCCTGGCAGTCCAAGGTTAGTAATTACAGTCTTTATGCAACAATAAATAACAATAAAAAAAAAAGCAACCTGAGTTCTACACCCCATCCCCGCCCCCCCCCACCCCCCCAGTAGGATTTTTAACTGGACTCGGCTCATCCAAGCGGCAAGCAATTTAGCATTGGGTCAGGCTATAATTTAAAGGCATAAGAGCGTGCAAAGTTTGATTGGGATCAAATAACGCTCAAGGGTTTTTCTTTCTCTCTCTCTTCCCCTCTTCCCTGAATAACATTTTCTGAATGATGTAACTAGATGAGGCGCCATGTTTGGCTCTGGGGGTGCAGTGGATTGATCGTTTAGCAGGAGAGAGGTAGGCCAAGAGAGAGAATTTAGCTCGAGCTTGAACACCAGAGCTCTGGCTTAAAGCTGGTTGGCAAACAAGGAAAACAAGGGCGGACTTAGCTTGGTGTCCCCCACCCCCTTTTTTTTCTGCGAGATTCCAGCGCTAGCTCAGCAGCCAAAGTCGTGGCGAAAATATCTGTGTGTAAGATTCACAGCACAACAGGGGGCGGGAAGCCGTGTCTCCGGGAAGGAGGGCTCTCTTGGCCCCTTTTAACACCCAAGTTTTCTGCTCTTCTCTAATCTGGCAGTAAAACCTGTCAGCAGGGTTAGGGAGAGCCGTATTTCCTGCAGGGGCAGGCTTGGCCGGCTGGTGCCGGCAGAAGCCCTGGACCATGCAGCCAGCTCCTGAGCCCGTGCAAAAACTTTCCGGGCTTCTCAAGGGGGTGGCTGAGAGAGAGCCCGCTCTCAGGCCTCGCTGCACAACTTGCAGACAACCACTACCCCGATTCTTCTGTGCCTCCCCCGCCCCCCACCCCCGTCCCCATCCACGCCTCCAAATGGTAAATTGTGCTTTCTTTGGAGCTGAGCTGGACATAACCGTCTCTGGCCAGTTTGTCCAGTTCATAGCAGTTCTCTTTTGAGCCTTTCAGAGCTCGCCAGACCGGCCACCCCCTGTCCCCGCAGCCCCCACCTCCAACTGGCTCTCCTCCAGCCCCAACCTTCCGATGCAGACAGCTCGGTCCTTTTTAAATACTCACCACAACCCACGCGGATGAATACTCACCACCACCCACGCGGCTGTTTGCATCGACAGAAAGTTTCTAGTTCCAGCTCCCGGCTGAGTGGCCATGTCTCTGCTAACCAGCCTTCTCCTCCAGGCTGGGCAGCTGGGAGCCAGGAGGGGGAGGGGAGGCCAGAGCCGTGGGAGTTCTCCAGACAAACTTTCCACCCAACTCAGCGCCCTACCCTCTGTCCCCATTCCCCATCTGTTTCCCCAGCTCCCAGAATCACCTTTCTCTTGTGCTAACACCACCCACCCCCAGGCCTTTTAAAGGGATGGGGAATTTCGGCTGTTCCCTCTGCTTTCCCAAAGAGCCAAATTCTTTGATGCCATCCGAGGGAGCTGTCAGGGGGCTAAGATTGATCGCCTCATCTCCTCTCCGTCCCTCTGACCCACTTATTTAAAAATCTTCCCCCAGATCGACTTTTCATTTTCTGCTTTGAGATCTGGTTTACCACCAATTGTGTGGAACCCTCAGTCTTGTGCCTCCTCCCTGCAGTAAATTACAGCACTCCCTGAAGTTCAGACTATCTGGATCCCTTTAAAATAAATAACAAACCAACAAACAAAAAACAAAAATTCCCTCTGGGGCCAGAAAAGGAGTATCATCTCAGTGGTCATTATTTCCAACCCCTCCATGTTCAGGGAATTCTTGCTTGACAGTGATTTTTTTTTTTTTTTTTAACTAGCATAATGATAAAAATGGGAGGGGGCATCTCTTTGTTCTAGGGGAGAAAATCCACCCCCCCCCAACTTTGAGAATGCTCTAAGTGAAATGAATGGGTGGCCACCTTGGTTCTTGTTCATGTTCCTGAGTATAGATACAGATACAGGCTTGAGGCTTGAGTGGTGCTATGCATTTTAGACCCTGACCCTTGAGGGAGCAGGTCACAGAGGAGTGCAGATGCCTCCAGGTGAGCAAGGCAGGTGGATGGACATAGGGGCAGGGGCAATGCTGCAAACACTGGGCAGAAGGGGAACTGAGACCACACAGCTATGGAGGCCAGAGGCCCAAAAGGGCCTCTCACCATCTATCTCACTCCTCTGTGTCAGCCTGGGAGTGCCTGTCGATTTTCCAAGATTTATCTGTTGCTTTTGGAGGGTGGGATGGGGATAGTGGTGCTGATGATTGTAAATCTCTTCTCTTCCTTATTGCACCTTAACTCTGACTTTTCCCAAAGGCTGGCGGGGAAGCCTCTTTTTACTACCTCTTCCTGCCACACTGAGATCCTCACTCAACCTTCTTTTTTGGGGGGTGGGGGAAGATGCTGCTGGCCATGTACAGAAAGCAATTAACTCTATTAAAATATTTCAAAAAGAGGAAAATCTCTCCCTTAGATACTCTTGTTTTCCAGGCTTCTGGAGGATCTTAATTCTCTGAAGGAGATGAGGGAAAGGTCCTCTAGCGTTTTTTTTGTTTTTGTTTTTGTTTTTGAAGAAAGGGAGGCATTGGGGAGAGGGAGTGAAGGACTGGGGGGGTTCATGGTGTCCAGGTCGGGGGTCCTCTAGAGTTTTTGAATCAATTAAAGCAAATAATGCTCTCTGTTTTCCACCAGGCCCAGACCAGCGATTGGCCGAGTCTGGTCCCGTGACCACGAATTCCCTGCAATTTCGCCAGAGTCCTGGGTTTAATAGAGAGAGTCCCCATACGCTTGTATTTATCAGCAATATACAATTATAAAGGCCCCAAATTTAAAAAAAGAGAGAGAGACAGCAAAATCCCTCCCTCCCAAAATCGCTCCATCACATAAACCTGGGGGGGGGCAGGAGGGGGGGTCCCTTCCGATCCTCCCTCCTGACGCCCCCCCCAGCAGGCCCCCTCCCCCACCATTGAAAGCCATGAATTTTGAATTTGAGAGGGAGATTGGGTTTATAAACAGCCAGCCATCGCTCGCCGAGTGTCTGACTTCCTTCCCCGCTGTCTTGGAGACATTTCAAACTTCATCAATCAAGGAGTCGACATTAATTCCTCCTCCTCCTCCTTTCGAGCTAACCTTCCCCAGCCTCCAGCTCGGCGCCTCCACCCTTCAGAGACCCGGGAGCCAAAAGCGAGCCGAAGATGGGCCCGCTCCGCCGCCGCCGCCGCAGCCGCCGCTCCCCGCCGCCCCCCTGGCCCCCGAGTTCCCCTGGATGAAAGAGAAGAAATCTGCCAAGAAACCCAGCCCATCGGCCACGTCCCCTCCGGCCGCCTCCTCGGTCCCAGCCTCCGGGGTCGGCTCGCCCACAGGTCAGTAAAAGGGGTAGGGGTGGGGTGAAGGGCAGCTAGAAGACGGGGAGAAAGAGCGATGGGGGAGGAAGAAAAGGCGGCAAGCCTGTTGGGGTTCCTAGCCCCGTTGGTTTCAGTGACAAGGAAGCAGAATAGATCGCTGGGGTTCAGGCCTGGCCGCTGCCAGATGCCATCTCCCTCCCACCCCCACCCCCAGCAGATTTTGGAAGCTGGTTGGGGAAGAGCTTTTTCTCTGCTGGGAGAAGAGAATTCGATTGCCCTTTATCTGTGAGGAGGGATGCATGTGTGTTGTTGGGGCTGAATCTGAGGACAGGAAAAGATTCGGTCCCATTCCCCCAGCTCTTACACGGGAGGGGGAATCTAGGATCTAGGGAGGAAAGGAGGTGAGGAACCATCTTTCTTTATACACCCCCTCCCTGCGTGGAGTCCGAATTAAGGGGTCCACTCGGAGGACCTGGGGAGGCTCTGAGGTCCTGGGGGCAGAGGGGAGCCGGTTCTAACCCCTGCATGGCCCGTGGGCGGCTCTCTGAATGCTTTGCCCTGACCTGGGCCGGCTGTGCAGGGAGAGGGACGGGAAAGAAGGGAAAAGCCATGAGCGCGAGCGGCTGCGGTGGGCGGGAAGGAAGGGGCACGGCGGCTCCTGTTTTTGGCGGATGGAAGAGTCTTTTATTTCAGCTGAACTGAGGTTGGGAGGAGGATGCGGCCCGCTCTGATGCTCCGTCTGCTTTCCCAGCAGATGGCCCGGGGCTGGCGGAGGCGGCCGGCGGCGGGGCGCGCAGGCTGCGCACGGCTTACACCAACACGCAGCTGCTGGAGCTGGAGAAGGAATTCCACTTCAACAAGTACCTGTGCCGGCCGCGCCGCGTCGAGATCGCGGCCTTACTGGACCTCACCGAGAGGCAGGTCAAAGTCTGGTTCCAGAACCGGCGCATGAAGCACAAGCGGCAGACGCAGCACCGAGAGCCGCCCGACGGGGAGCCAGCCTGCCCGGGCTCCCTAGAGGACCCCGGCGAGCCCGCCCCGGAACCTGCGGCCAGCCCTGGCCGCCTCTCCGCCCCGCGGGCGGCGCGGGAAGCCTGCTCTCACCCGTCCGAGGTCGCGCCAGGCCCTCTGGGCGCCCCGTGCGCCCCGCCGTTGGCCTCTCGCCCGGACGGCGCGGGGACGCCGAGCCCCGGCGGCGCCCTGCGCGGGGCCCGCGGGCTGGAACCCGAGCTGTTGCCCGAGGACGCCTTCCCTGAGCGGCAGGATTCGCCTTTCCTGCCCGACCTCAACTTCTTCGCGGCCGACTCCTGCCTCCAGCTGTCCGGAGGCCTCTCCCCGAGCCTGCAGGGCTCGCTCGACAGCCCTGTGCCCTTCTCGGAGGAGGACCTGGACTTCTTCACCAGCAGCCTCTGCGCCATCGACCTGCAGTTCCCCTAACCGTCTCCTCCCGGCCGCTCGCCCCCCACCCCCAGGGCCTCCCAGGACCCCCCAGCCCCCAAGTGTGGTTTAGACTTCTTTATGTATTTGGCTAAAATTCAGGTATTATTGAATTAGCGTTTAATCCGCGTCCTTTCTTCTCTCTCTAAAATATTGGATACTCCGGCGTCTTTTGGAAACCACAGAAAAATTCCGTTCGGTGGACCCCTCCCAACGAAATCTCAGGAATCATTACACTGTAAGGGGCGGGGCGGGGCTTTTCTTTAAAAAGAGCTAGAGGAGCCTATTTTCCACTTTTTTTTTAAGTTTTAGGACGTAGATTATTTATTAAAACTCTTTAATAATAGGAAAAGGGGAAAGTATTTATTGTACATTATTTTCATAGATTAAATAAATGCCTTTATTATACGAACACGAGTGCTTGTGTTGGGACGCAGCCCCTTCCCCCGAAGCCCTCAGGCCGGCCTCGGTTCTCCCCGGGCTGGGTCTGGTCCCGGGCTGGCTGAGTCCGCGTGGTGCAAAAATGGCCCCACTTGGCCGCCCCCCGCGTCTCCTCCCGCAGCTCCGAGACCGCAGGGGGGTTTGCTGGAGGCCGGGTCACCTCGCCACCGCCCCACCGAAGGCCTCTGGCCCCGCGCGGGTGTTCGGGGCCTCGGCTTGGGAAGGTGGGCGGCGCAGGGAGAGGTGTGCGGCCCACGGGAGAGGGTGCAAGGAGCGGAGGCCACGGGCACGCGCGTGGGAGCCCGGGCCGAGGCCGCAGAGACGCAATGGGGTTGGGAGGGGGCCCGGGGCTCCGAGCTGCCGCACCCCAAAAGGGTGGAGGGCTTCTCCCGGCGCGCAGGGCGCCTGGGGGCTCGGCCTGGAGGAGTGGAGTGGGCGCCGGGCTTTTCTCGGGAAGCAGGCCCCGGGCCCCGGGCCCCGGGAGGATAAAGGGCCTCCACGTGGGCAGGACGGAGCCGCGGGAGCAACGCAGCGGGGCCGGCACCGGCTCTCCGTCCCCGCAGTCGCTCTGGGGCTGGGAGAGCGTCCGAGGGGCGGCGGGCCGACCAGCCCAGGGAGCCCGGGCAGCGTCGGCAGGCGCCTGGCCTGCAGGGAGGGAAGGACGAGCGAGGAGTGCGGGAGGGAGACGGAGAAGCAAGGGTGATGCTCAAAATGGCGCTGGGGCCGGGCGGCGGGGAGGCGAGGGAAGAGCCGCCATGACGGCCGCTTCGGGACGCGCGGGGTCCCGCCCGGGGACCGGCCCCGCACCCCCTTTCTCCTTTCTGGGTCGTTCAGACGCCAGTGCAGAAAGGGAGCCAGGGAGTCTCCTCCCAGTTTTTGTTTTATTTTATTTTTTTAAATTGAGCCCAATGGATGCCGAGGGCGCGAGATGGACGGAGAGTCCGCGTGGGGATGAGAAGGGGAGGGGAGGGGGCGCGCCGGGTCTGCAGGCCCGGGTGCGCCTGGGCGACTCGGGCTTTTGATCCTTCGCTCTGGGATTGTAGCCTGCCCAGAGCTTTCTCCAGATGCAGACCTACCTGTCTGTGCCAACAACTTCATTTGCCATCTCAACACTGTCTCCTATCCCCCACCTCCCAGGCCTGGCTACCTGCAAACCCCGTAAGCGGGAAGCCAGGATCGATCTTCCCCATCTGCCTTCTGCTTTCTTCCGGGGAACGTGGAGATTTAAAGGGCCCTGGAAAGCAATCCATCCTCCTTAGGTTTATTTAATATTTCTCGGGCCCAGAAATAGACACCGCAGGGCTACCTCCTAGCAGACGCTGCCAGTCTCCAAAATCAGTTTATTTCATGGGCCTCCCAGACGTTCCCCTGGACCAACAGGCCGAGGACTTGGAGTCCCGGGCACCAACAGGCAACAACTGTCAGGAAAAGCCAGAAGCCAGATTGGTCATGACATATAGGACCGGACAGGCCTCTGAATATTTTTTTTTTTAACTGGACCTCGGTGTGGGAAGTACACACATCTTATTCAGCTGAAATTTCATCCCTTAAACTGTCTTCATATAGAATTCACCTCCCGCATTAAATAATCTTATGTCATGTTAAATTGCACTTATTTCTTTCATAAATAAATTAATATAGAACAATTAGACGTGTTATTATAATATCATGGATCTTATTAGTTTATTTTTCCTCATAAAATATATAGGTATGAAATAAATTCAATATATTAAAGTAATAATACACAGCTTATTGGCTTGTGTGTTTATTTTCTTCATAAATAAGTGAGGCTACAATATATTAAAACCACACTATACTTTTTATTGGGCTATGTGTTTATTTCCCTACAAAATATGCCCATAGGCAGTGTTTAACGTCTTAAAAACCACAGCACATAGCCATTTCCACACTAGCAAAATGAAACAGGCATTTCAGCTGGGGCTTTGATTTCTATGTACCGCCAAACTGGATAATTTGGCCTAATTAAAAATGCTCTTTCAGCTATAACAGGTTGTTACCAAGATCAAGAACACCAGAAGGATTTTGCTAATTGCCCACCTTCCAGCTTTCTTTGGTCAAAAAGAGAGCACCTTTCATCAATGCCAAAAGAGCAGGATCTCTGCTGGAGAGAATTCACGTCTTGGGATCAGGGCTTGGTGTGCGATACTCAGGGCCCCTGGGGCTCTGGTTCTGTAAGAGCCTTGCTGCCCTGTGGCCCAGCAGCATCAGCACTACCTGTGAGCTGGTTCGAAATGCAGAAACTTCCGCCCCACTCCGAAGAGAATCAAAACCTCAATTTAGCAGATCTCCAGGTAGTTTATACGCACATTAAAGTTTGAGAAGTGCAGCTAGAGCAGTGGTTCTCAACCTTGGCTGCACATGAGAATCACCTGGGAATCTTTTTAAAATCCTGATTTCTGGGCCTCATCCTCCGGAAATTCTGTTTCTTTGTTATGGGGTGGGGCCACAACATTCGTAACAAAGAAACAGAATTTCCGGAGGATGAGGCCCAGAAATCAGGATTTTAAAAAGATTCCCAGGTGATTCTCATGTGCAGCCAAGGTTGAGAACCACTGAGCTAGAGCATAGAACTACCTTGCTCCCTGCCTTCCTCCGATGCTTAAGAATTTTTGACCCACTTTACCTGGCTATGGCCTTCCAAGCCTCCCCAACCCAAATCTCAGCTCCTGCCTGAGGCTGCAGCAGACCTGATTCCTGCCTGCCAGAGCGAGTGTGGAGCCAGGAGGGTCCAGCCAAAGGCTCAACCTACCAGTCTCTTCTAGGTACTTAGTGAGCCCTGGGGGTGAAAAGCAGTCAATCCAAGGAAATTGGGAGTTTCAGCATTTCCCTTGGTTGATTATTGGGGAGCAGTTGGAACTGTTTTTACAGGCAACACACAGATATATTCTCTCTCTCTCTCTCTCTCTCTCTCTCTCTCTCTCTCTCTCTCTCTCTCTCTCTCTCTCTCTTCTTGTGTTCACAAAACTCACCATTTCTGATGCCACCACAGCAGAACAAAGAGGCAATGCATTTTCAGAAGGAAATGACTCCTGCTTTCAATCTCCCCACCCACTTTGAAATTCAAAGGAATGCCTGGCAATTTGGGATTCATGAAGAATTGGGACTCAAGATACCTGTGTTCCAAATTAGCTCTTTTTTCCTTGTCTCATCTCTGGGGTCACCCTCTTTAGTGTGAGTTTCCTGGTTGGCTATGGAGGTGGAAGGAGAAGAGGGCTTCCCAGATAAGGCAGCAGGCTCCCCAGTGGTGGCAGGTTAAAGGACAGTGGCTGTGCCAAGTGGCTGTACTCACTTATCTCATCCTGTTTAGGCCTGGACCCAGTGTGAGTGGTCTTGTAGCACAAACTGGACATAAATTGACTGTGGTTGGAATGGGAATATTTCAGTGCCATCCCAAAAGCTGCTTGTCAGTCTGCCCTGCTTTTGATGAGTCATTCTTTGAAGAAGAATGGCTCATTAATATTATAGTGAAAGCAAAGGGCCATTAGATTGAGGAATTATATGCAATCACGATAACCCTGAGTCATTTAAAAAAATGTAACTTATGCCTGGACAAGTCCCTTCTCCTTTCTAGACCTCAGTTTCTCTATCTGTAAAGTAAATGGAAGAACTAAATGCCGCTAATGTCCTGCACATTATGTGCCAAAAGTATATTCGTTAGTCTTCACAAACGATACATTAAATATTTATTGTAGCTGGCGCTGTGTGCTTTTAAATGGAGGTGGTGACAATCGCCCACCTCCCAAGTATCCGGTAGAGCCATTTTAACAAATTTTAATTTGTATCTTTACACCAAAATTGTGCCCATAGTCATTATTTAAATGTGTAAGGAGAGAAATCTTTTCAACAAGCATGTAATTGGATGCAGTGCTGGGTGCCAGATGCCAGGTAGTCAATACGTATGAATATTAAGAAGTGTCCTAGCCATGTTTTCCGCTGGCTTTCATCCGCTGCCACCTTCCCCAACATTTGGTTATGTTTACCCTTGTTTGAAAAAGAGTAGGATGTTTTTTTTTTGTTTTTTTTTTAAAATATATTTTATTGATTTTTTACAGAGAGGAAGGGAGAGAGATAGAGAGTTAGAAACATCGATGAGAGAGAAACATCGATCAGCTGCCTCCTGCACATCTCCCACTGGGGATGTGCCCGCAACCCAGGTACATGCCCTTGACCGGAATCGAACCTGGGACCTTTCAGTCCGCAGGCCGACGCTCTATCCACTGAGCCAAACAGGTTTTGGCAAGAGTAGGATGTTTTATACAAAAAGAGGCAGGCACCACACTTCTCTGACACGGTGCACTCCGCTTTAAAAGTCCCCCTCAGATGTTATCTGCTTGCCAGAGCACCAGAGCATTGGTACAAATGCTGGATCTCCCTAAAGAGCCCTGCCGAATTGTCCTGCCACCTTCCCCCCAAGTCTCTGACGAGCACTCAGTGGCCCCACGGTGCGTCTTCTTGAAATGTGCTCTAGTCCAATACATTTCCTCAGTTTGCAGGAAGTAGGGCCCCATGTCCTCACCCTCTTTGCCTGCTGTGGTTGGTATGGCCTCCATCCTCCAATGACCTCTCCAGCTCAGCTCTGCTCTTCTGCCCCCACCCAGCATCCTCTCTCCAGACTCAATGGTGAGGCAGACCTTCAGTGCCTGAAGGACAGCTAACCAACTGCTTCCTCCTCTAAGGCAGAGTCAACAGGGAAAGAATCCTGCTCACACCTTCTCTGACCACCACAGGAAAAACAGTCTGGACAGTCATCCAGACACACATTCAGCTGCATCAGAACTTGGGGAGGTTTCCAAAGTGGATATTTTGGCCACAACTACCACACTTGGATGAACCCAGACCAGTAGGAAGTTATGTCAGTTCTTCTTCCTGTCACTCTAATTCAGTGATGGTGAACCTTTTGAGCTCGGCGTGTCAGCATTTTGAAAAACCCTAACTTAACTCTGGTGCCGTGTCACATATAGAAATTGTTTGATATTTGCAACCATAGTAAAACAAAGACATATTTTTGATATTTATTTTATATATTTAAATGCCATTTAACAAAGAAAAATCAACCAAAAAAATGAGTTCTCGCGTCACCTCTGACACGTGTGTAATAGGTTCGCCATCACTGCTCTAATCTTTCCTTTTAGAAAGATCCCAACTCTCTGGCTTACGTTTCGATCCAGATGAAAGTTTATATCCTGCTGGTCTATCTAGATTCTAGAAGTGAGGTCTAACCTCCCAGGAAGGACTGTTTCTAAGTGAATCCCTCAAGGAAGAGAGACAATGTCCTCCCTAGAAAACTTTTTCCAAATATTTGTAAGATCAGGAAGTTCTTGTTAATATCCAACTTCAAACCTTCAGCTGCAATTTTAATGCTTTGGGTTCTTTATAGATTATATAATATTGGGTTTCAATGATCAGAAAAGTCTTCAGCTTAGAAAAAAAATCCCTTTTCTAAACAAAGCCAACGGTCACAATTCTCAGTGAAATTTGCATATGATAAAGTACATATTGTATAATATATGATGATATGTTACATGAAAATATAGCACATATGCTATTTTCCTATCACATATTTCCATATTTTAATATGCTAGTTTTATTAAAAAGCAGAAGACTGACTCATACTATTTCAGAATGTGCATGTAATGTTAATATCATACCTGTATAGTGTTCTCTATGGCTTATATTTTCTTGTTTACTTTAATATTACTAACAATGCAGTGAAATAAGTACTATTAAACACATTCTTCTTCTCTGAGGCTGAGACTCAGAAACCGGAAAACTTGTCCAGGGTCATAGTGCTAAGAACTGGTCAAGCAAGAATTTGAACGCAAGTATTCTGGCCCCCAAACTACTAGTGTTTGAATTACAATATGCACCACCTATAGGCTCTGGTTCTTGACCAGATTTGTGACAATTTAATTAGCTTGCATTAAAAGAAATACCACTGAATTTAAATCCATCCTGCCCACAAACAGGAGAAATAATTATAGAGAAAAAGTTAGAACCCTGAATATCCTTTTAATTCTTAAGTTCCAAGCTTTGATCTTGGGCTTGGCCTTGAAGATCTGAGCACTGAGGAGAGCAGGCAGAGAGGCACGTCGTTGATACCTAAGGAAAGAACTGTTCAGACTGCTCCCGCCAATCCCCGGCTAAAGCAGCCTCCTCCACAGAAAGGCCAGAATCAAGTGTGAACTTCTAACACATCCTCCTTCTGATTAGAATTGTTCCCGTGTCTGCACACTCAGTGTGATAAGGACTGGCACCTCTCAAACATAATTTCAGTTCTAAGCATTCCTATGTTCTCCTTGCTCTCCTATATGTCTTATCTAAGTAGATTATATAAATGAGGAAATCAGCTTTATTTCACTTGGGTGTTGGGACCATCATACCTTCTCTGGTGAAGCTCATTGGGTCAACCAGGAACTCCTAGAGCCCATAGGTTAGTCCAGATGTGGCTTACTTGTCCTTGTTTGTTTTGTTCTGCACTCAGCTGTGGGATGAGTAGGGATCCAGGCTGCATAGACTTTCTCCTCAGGTCAGGTGGTGAATCTTCTTTCTAGGAGGAAGAGACTTGGGAACCTAGGGAGCCAAGTTGTTTTTTTTCTCCCAGTTCTGTCTGCTGGGGCTGGGAGAGCCAGCAGGAATTTTGGGAAAAGTTTAAATCTTTCTGCTACACAAGAGAGGGAAGCAAGACTCAGGGATGAAGTGGAGATTATGGTGGCTTTGGAGGGCTGAGGGTAAAGCAATCACTGACAGTATAACTTGAGGCACTTTGCCCCACCCTCTTCTCTTTTTGTCATTAATAATGGGCTGCTGGTGGCTTCAGCTGTTCCTCAGAAGACTGCATTTCCCTAGCTGCCACACAGATTTCTGCTGTTTTATTAAGCTGATTTGGAATTTACTTCCTCCTTAAGACCTCAGATTGCTCCCATAATTAAGAGGGCAAGGGATGAGGTGAGTAGGTTCTCTCTGGTTGAGGGAAAGGTGGAAAGAGAAGACTCAGGTCTCTCAGAGGCAGGGCAGCCAGGCCTAGCTTGGGGCGAGGCTTAGATCAAATATAGGCCTAGCTCAGATTTGGGGTTAAAAGAGAAACCCTAGTTCCCCATACCCTTCTTCTCCAAAGGCCACTGTGGAGAACATCTTAAAGTCAGAGGAAAAAGCTGGGAACCTCTACAAACCCAAAAAGTTACTGGGAAATAGAAAGAAATATGCTTGCCCTTACCTCAACACCCTCTTCCCTTCAATCTCTCTGCAGGCCACCCCTGCCTCCCATCTCAGGTCTCCTTTCCTTTGTCTGCCCTCATCCCTTTGGCAGTGAACATTATCTCACCCTCCCCTATTGTATCTCTCTTAAAGAAGTAACCAGCTGTCCCCCCTCCCCCAACTTGTCCTGGTCCTAGGCAGGGGTCCGAAGTAACATGTGAGGAGGGAAAGGGGCAGGGTCCTGTGAAATGCTTTGAGGTCTTTCTTGGTTGGGGGCTAAGCAAGGCTCACAGTTAGTAAGAGAAGAGAAAGGTGGTGTGATTCTGGGGATAAAAATAGAAAGCAGGAGAGGCGACTGTAGAGGAAAGGCAAAATGAGGGGGAATGGGAACCAGAACAATGGAGACTGAGAGATAACTTTGGGGTTTGTTGCAGAGTGAGGAGTCCTCACCCTGCCCTTTCTGTGGGTGGGGAAACCTGAGTAGTTTGAGGTTTCTCTCTGGACCCGTCCCACCTGCTTCTCTTCCTTTCCTGAGCTCAATTGTTTACAAAGATCCCTCCCTGAACTCTTGCCCTCCTGGACTTGCCCTAGCCCCGGCCTCAGGCCTCCAGCCAGGCAGACACCCTGACAGGTTACAAATGAGCGTGGGTGTTGGATTGCACCAAGCTCTTGTCCTCAGAGTCTGGAGGAGGAGAATCAAGGGGCTCTACCTAAGAGCTTCTCTTCCAGTCCCAGCCCAGTCTGAAGAGAGTGAAGGGGGCACTTCCTGTTCTCCTCTCCTCCCCCATCCCTGACCCAACAGACACACAAGAGCAGAAAGGGGGGAGAGTCCACTCCCGAGCCTCAGGACCTCCACACTGAATCTCCCATTCTCTGAGCAAACGCCCTTGATCTAGTCTAGAAAATTCATTGAAAATTTGAGTAATCTTTAAGATGTAATTGGTATTGAGCTTATGGATTTGAGGCTTGGGATTCTTTTGGGCGGCGGGGAGGAGATATGGAGGGTGGTGAGGGAGACAAGGGTAGGAGGGAACTAAATAATTCAGGATCCACACTAGTTTTAAATGCTTCCGAAAAAAGAATAAAATTTCCCTCCTCTTCACCTGTAAACATCACCTAGCTCGGAGCTCATTATGGCTCTCTGGAGAGAGACGGGGAGTTATCTGAGTGTGAGTGAGCGAGCCAGCTACAGCTATGGATGGCTAGAGAGAGGATAAATACATCTCGAGAGATGAGTTGATGGATAGGTAGGGAACAATATAAATATGGAGAGAGATGGACGAACAGAGAGATGGATTGAGACAGAGGGAATATAAAGAGAGGCTGAGGGAGAAAAATGGATGCGTGAATGAGGAGAGAGCATTTATGTGGAGAGATGGAGAGAGAAATGGGGGCATTTCTCATCCTCCTTCCACATTTCTGCCCTGTTTTTTCCCCTGAAATGCCAGTTTCCCACCCTTCATATAATGAATTCAAACTCTAGATTCTAGATCCTGCCTCACACCCTTAGGTATTTTTGCACCCTCTTCTTTCACAGTCTCACAGTCATCCATTTGGCCCAAGATAACATACCTCACCCGGCTGTCCTAGCCCATCACCCCTAGACAAACTGGGAGAAAGAAACTGGGACTGGGAGCTGTGGGAACGTAAGGAGGCTGGATTCCCTACCTCCCCATCTACAGCCTTGGGGGGAAGGCTCCTTTGGGGTGTGGGAAGAGTGAGGGACAGCTGGGTTGAATTTGCCCAAATCTAATAACCCAGGAGCCTATTGAAGGTCTTGGGGGTTGGGAGGGGAGGAAAGTCTTCAATATTCCTCTAACTTTACCCCCCTCTCCCTCTGGTCCCTTCTTTCCAAAAGTCTTTGAAGAAAGATGTTTTTGACGCTTCCACGTCGCTCTCAGATGGATGGGCTGCGGGTGATTGAAGTGTCTTTGTCATGCTAATGATTGGGGGGTGATGGATGGGCGCTGGGGCTGCCAAACTCTGGCCCACTGCGCCCATTGGCCTGGGAGAGATCACATGCGCCCCTCCACCCCCCACTCTCTGCCCGCTTCCTGGGGGAGCGCTGGCCCAGGAGCGCTGGCCCAGGCCATGGATGCAAGCTTCAGCGCTGTGACATACTGCCGAAAGGTTGTAGGGCAAGAGGGTGTCTCCCCAAAACGGGCCGACCCTCCTGCGGCCTCCACGCATGGACTATAATAGGATGAACTCCTTCTTAGAGTACCCACTCTGTAACCGGGGACCCAGCGCCTACAGCGCCCACCACAGCGCCCCTACTTCCTTCCCCCCCAGCTCGGCTCCCGATGTTGACAGCTACGCAAGCGATTCCCGCTATGGTGGGGGGCTGCCCAGCCCCGAGCTTCAGCAGAACTCAGGCTATCCGGTCCAGCAGCCGCCTTCGGCACTGGGGGTGCCCTTCCCCAGCTCCGCGACCTCGGGGTACCCCCCGGCAACTTGCAGCCCCAGCTATGGGCCTTCTCAGTACTACCCTCTGAGCCAACCAGAGGGAGATGGAGGCTATTTCCATCCTTCGAGCTATGGGGCCCAGCTAGGGGGCTTGTCCGACGGCTACGGAACCGGTGGAGCTGGCCCCGGGCCGTACCCTCCACCACAGCCCCCTTACGGGACCGAGCAGAGAGGGAGCTTTGCACCGGCCTATGCTGATCTCCTCTCCGAGGACAAGGAATCGCCCAGCACGTCAGAACCCAGCGCCCCCACTGCCCGGACGTTCGACTGGATGAAGGTTAAGAGGAACCCACCCAAGACAGGTAGGGCTCAGGCGTGGCCACCTCTCTCGGGGCCCCAAAGCCGCTCTGCTGCTTCTGCACTGGGGGGTCCTGAGCCCAGGCTGGGTTCCTTGCTCTGAGACGCTCTGGTAGAGGCAGGTAAGAACACTCCGCCTGTCTCAGGACGGGTGGGGTCCCCACTGAGTGAGTGCGGGTCTACCCTCCAGAGTAAGTTTCCACCCTCACCCCCAACTTCCTGATCTGTGTGCCTAGCACAGCCCAGGACCTGGCGCGCCCAACGGGCTGGGGGTGGGAATGGAAGTGTGGGGCAGGTTGCTCCAGATCCGAACACCTTGAGGGTGGGGTGTGCCTGGTGATCCACGAGAACTTTGAGAGCCGAAATGGGACAGAATGGTGAAGGGGGTGCAGAGCGGCCCAGGGGTGGGGTGGGGGCGAGGAGAAAGGTGAGCGCACTGACGTGCCTTCTCCGCCCCGCCCCTAGCAAAGGTGTCGGAGCTGGGCCTGGGCGCCGCCGGCGGCCTCCGCACCAACTTCACGACGCGGCAGCTGACGGAGCTGGAGAAGGAGTTCCATTTCAACAAGTACCTGAGCCGGGCCCGGAGGGTGGAGATCGCCGCCACCCTGGAGCTCAACGAGACGCAGGTCAAGATTTGGTTCCAGAACCGGCGCATGAAGCAGAAGAAGCGAGAGCGGGAGGGAGGCCGGCTGCCCCCAGCCCCTCCGGGCTGCTCCAAGGAGGCCACGGGAGACGCCTCCGACCAGTCCACGTGCACCTCCCCGGAGGCCTCGCCCAGCTCCGTCACCTCCTGAGCTCAGCCTCCCACCCGACGGGGCTCCCCAGCGCCGCCATCCAGCCGTCGCCTCCGCCTCCGCTCCCCCTAACCCGGGCCTGGGCTAAATGACTGATGGGAGATTGTCACCACGGGCGGGCGGGCGGCGGCCGGCCGGGGGGGCGCCAGTTTGGAGCTGCCTTAGGGGGCAGCAGGGAAACACTTTCCTCCGGTCTGGGTGGGATGCTGACGGCTGGGGACCCTATGGGACCAGAGGCATGAGAGACTTGTAACCGGCCAGATGTGGAGGGAAGGGCTGCCTGTCGCCTTTGATCTGGGGATCAGCCCGGGTGGGGTGGGAGCAAGCGGAATCTCCCGAATTCTGCTTCCCTCGTAACTTCGGTTGGCTCAGTTCAGTGCCTTTGAGCTGCAAGGACTGTCCTTATGCACTCACCCCTGCCCCAACTCCCCCTTCTAGGCCTGGGACGGAGAGAAGGCCTAGGAGTTTCTTGTGTGGGGCGTGTTTGGGTGCGGGCCTATCACCAATGCTTACTCTCTCCAATCACCACAGACCTTACAATAGCACCAGCTGCCTTGTGACAGACCAAAAAGCACCCCCCCATCTAACCCTATTACCCGCCCCCCCCCACATTTGTATTGCACTAATGCAGCCTCTAGAGGTTGTTTCCTGAGACCTGACTCCTCCTCCCAGCGATCTCCTCTCTAAGCCAACAAAATGTTTCGGAACTTGGTTCTGCTGAGACTTTTGGAATGTTGTGCGAGGCCTGCCCCCCGCAAGTCTCCATCAGGAAGGCGCAGGCGCGCCCCCACTAGTTCCTCCCCTATTTATTGCCTTCTGGAAACCCAGGACCCTCATCCCCATCTCCACCTGGGCGCCCCACTCTCTGGGGGAGAACAGGGAGGCCCAGGTGCCCTGACAGCTCCTAGCAGCTGCAAGCATTTCTCTGAACCTTGGAGACCGTGGGGGCACCACCCGAGTTTCTGGAAACCTGAGCCCCAAGCAAGCTGGGTTCTCTCTGTACCTCCAACTACCTCATTGCAATAAAGTCTGTGTTTTCCCTTCTTCCCGACTGCTTCTGCTCCTCCACCTCAGGGTAGAGAAGGCTTTCTGCTCCAAGAATCCTGGGGAGAGGGGAAGACAGAGTTGGCCAAGCCTGGCTGGGCTGGAAAGAACTGGGTGGATCTAAAGCAGAACCAGAACCAGGTCTCCAGGTCTGACAGATGTCAGTCCCCGGGTCATTGGAAGAAGCAAGACAGAGATGGAGGAAAAGGGCATGGGGAGGAAATCGTTGGGAGAAAGTCCTGAGAGGAAGGCAGGAAAGGAGAGCTCTTTGGAGAAAACAGAAAAGGGTATAGAAAGAGTAGGATGAGTGGGGGAAGGCAAAGGCAACTCCCCCCTCCCCCACCCTCACCCCCCAGACAAGGCCTGGCATACAGAGAGAGAGTCAGAGGATGGGTCGCCCCCAACCCAGCTCTCTTCCACCCAGCCAGGACATCCGCCCAGACATTGGAAGCCAGAGAGCCTAGGACACTCAGCCACAGCTGGCCCACCTCCAAAGTGCCAACCTCCCAGCTCAGTGCCATCCTCCCAGGGTTGAAGGTGAGCTCCCCGGGTTTTTGGTGCTGGGCCACAGGAAGAAGGCGGCCTCAAAAAGGGCGAGTGGGTGTGGGAGAAGGGGAAGGTGGCCCCAAGGGGGCAAGTTGGAGGACCAGGGGCCTGGGGGTGGGGGAGGAGGCCGAGGTAGGTCCGGATCTGGAGCTGACCTTTTTACCTCCAAGCGCCTTTGGGCTTTCCAAACAAGCCAACAGAGCACCCGCGGGGACAGCTATTGTCTCCAGGGCCGTCCCACCAACAAACCCTTGGTCTGCTGCGGGGAGGGGTGTGGGGGGTGGGGAGGCCGGGGCTCAGGAAGCTCCGCGATGGTCAACAAACCTCCATCGCTCACTGGCCCCTCAGTGCCATTGAGATGACCCGGGCCTGCGGGCTCTGGGCGCCAGAGACCCCCTTTATTGATTCCGGTTACCCAGGGAGCCCACATGCCCCCGAGCCAGGACAGCTGGTGGGGGCAGCAGTGGAGCCAAGGGGGGGGGGCACTTATCCACCCCATCCATTTAATTTTTGACGATTCAAAGGAAGAGAGGCAGCGAAGAGAACTAACAGCTAAGAGGACTAAGAGCATGTATATGAAACGCCTAGCAATTGCTTCCTAATGAAATTGGTGCCATTATAGGAGAGGCAATGTTAGCAAGAATGGCACAGCCCAGCTGCAGAGGAAGAGAGCGTGTAGCAAGAGGAAGTCTAGCTTTCCCAGAGGCCCCTGCCTGGTCCTCCATCTTCAAAAAAAAATCTATTAACTGCTTTTCTGTATTTAATTGAAATTGCCATCAAGATTGGCTTCCCCAAAGGGTCACCTTGACAGAGGGGACAGAGCAAGTGTCTGTGGAAACAAAACTCCCCTTGCTTGGAGCCGGCCAGTGTAAGCCAGTAGAGCCTTCTGGTTGGGGTAATTGTGGATCCTACAACTTTGGATCAGTAGGCAGGAAAGCAGGGAGGAGCAGTGGTTAGAGCAGGGCCACAAGGATGGTGGATCTGGGCCTCAGGCTGGTCCTGGGGGAGGGTGACATGATGGAAGGGACAGGAGGAAAGGAAAGGCTGCCCATTTGATTTTGGGTCACAGCGCAAGGAACCACCAGATTCCCTCAGGGAAGGGTGAGGGGGCAAATCAATTCTCTGTTAACAGAGGCACAGACTCAAAATAATCCACAATAAATATGAGCCTCCTACCTCCTTAGGTGCAAAGCTACTGACCCCAACCCACTTGGCTCTCTCCTAAAATCCCACTTTGAAGTTAAGGCCCCAGATTGGTTTACACAGGAGGCACTTATTTGGAGAAAGAAAAGATGACTGTGTCTTTCCCCAGCATACAGGACAAAGGAGAAAATGGTCAACCAAATAAACAAAAACACATTTTGCTGCAGCTGAATTAAGTTGATGGTCTTTGTTAAACTTTCCAGTCAGAGACGCCTCCATGCCTTTCAGGCTGGTGGGTGTTTCTCAGGCCTTGAAGGGGTGAAGGGAATCATATTCACCAGGGCATCTCAAAGTGCATTTCTGCAAAAATTGAAAGCCCTCCCTCCACTCTTACACCTTCCTTTTCTAGATTTCAAAAAAAATCTCCTGGTTTGAAAGTAAAAATCTTGAGAGATTTTTTTTCCCCTTGATTCTTCAGAAACCTTGACAAGGTTTCTGAGGAGCATCTCCTGGCCCCTCCCCGACGGTCTGAGTGGGGGGACAGTCAAGCCTCCACTCCACCCAGCCCTCTGCACCATCTGTTTCTCAGCCCCAAGTGTGAACTTTTCCTCTTTCATTTGCCTTTTCCTTTAGCGTTTGTTCTCCCAATGCGAGGTCCTTTGATCTTCTGGACAAGAGACAAGAAAAAGAGAATTAAAAACCCCTGAAGTTCTCCTTACTTTTAATGTGGGTTTCTTTGTTATGAACATTCTCTGCACCAATACCACTGGGCTGCTGGAAGGGATTTGGTGGGATGGGGAGTGGAAGAGGGTGCAGATGGGAAGGCTGGGGACATCTCTGGGTGACAGCCGAGGAGTTGGGGAGATGTCCCGGATACCGGGTTTCAGATCCTTCCAGCGCTGCCTCTCAAGCCTTGAGCAGGCTGCCTAATTCCCTGCACCCAGTTTTACTATCTATAAAATGAAGGTCATAATAGTACATATTTCATAAAGTTGATGCTGGGATTAAATAACTTAATATGTGCAAAATGCTTGGAGCAGTCCCTAATAAATACATGTGAGCTATAATAAGAATAATAGTAATTATTATTATTATTTTTTAAAAAATATATTTTATTAACCTTTTACAGAGAGGAAGGGAGAGAGATAGAGAGTTAGAAACATCGATGAGAGAGAAACATCGATCAGCCGCCTCCTGCACACCTCCCACCAGGGATATGCCCGCAACCCAGGCACATGCCCCCGACCGGAATCGAACCTGGGACCTTTCAGTCCGCAGGCCGACGCTCTATCCACTGAGCCAAACCGGCTTCGGCGCAATAGTAATTATTATTATTACTCAAAGGGACTCGTCCTCTCCCTTTTCTATAGTCCTTTACTTATTCCAGAGCACTTCTTGATCCTTTGAGATGTGCACGCACTCTCACATCTTGTTTGACCCCAAGTTAGGTGTATGGAGCTAGAGACAGGTTATAAGTAAGGCCAAGGACAGGTAAAAGGGATTCCTTCTTAGCAGCTGAGAACACCTCGACTGGGTTGAGACCCCTTCCTTTCCTTCAGGTCTCAGCCTACTCGCCCGAGGAAGAGGAGGGTTATCCTGAGCCTCCCACACTCTTTCCCTCCCTTCTCCATTGAGAGGATGGATAGGAAGTCTTGAAGGCAGACACTTTGAGGTCCTGATTTAGAGTGGTGGGGGACAAGGGTTCTGAAGTATAACTTCATTATCAATGTGCCCCCCTCTTATTAGCTGGGTGAGCTTACGCCAGTTATTCAACTTCCCTGTGCTTCCATTTCTTCGGATGTAAAATGGAAGACATTGAAGAATAAATGAGATGTATCAGAAACACTTAGGACGCTGTCTGGCAGTGTTCGGTAGAAATTTTCTGTTTTATATATTCCCATAAGACATTTTCCTACTCCTTTTTCATCCTGAGTTGTTTTTGGCATGATGGAAGCAGATATCCCTCAGCCTTGGTCCTCTTGCACTGCACCCACAGACCCACCTGGTATCATAACCATGAAACTTGCTGCTAGGGAATAAATTATGAACGAAAAGGTTCCAGGTAGTCCCACAGAATACTGGTTTACAGTAAGTAGTGTATCATAATGAGACACGCTCTTGGCAGGACAGCCTCCTTGCATAACTCTGGCAGCACATTCTCATGTAGGGCATGAGCTTGGCACCCCCTGCAGTTGTGCCAGATTTTTTTCTGATGGTTTAGTCCTGGCTCTAAGGACTTCCTTGCATGACTTCTTTGCATGACTCAA